GTGCCAGCCCAGGGTCTAAGCCTAAGAAGGCCCGGCAATTTGTGCCTTTGTGTTCTTGGGGAGGCAGTCACCCTGTGAGAGCTCCAACCACCCACCCGGTCAAGGAGGAAGGTCATGTGCAAAAGGACCCAGAGGAAGACATGGCACACGGAGACCCAGGCCACACGGAAGAGCACCGAGGCACAGACAGGTGAAGGAGGTAAGCACTCTGGAGGTCCTGCCCAGCACAGCCACCTGGACTCCAGCTGCAGCCCCCATCTAATTACAACTAACAACTAATAACAACCCAGACGGACCACCGGCACTGTTCAGCTGAGCCCCACCAACCTACAGAACTGTGTGACGTAAGTTCCGGGCTGACTTGTTACTTAGCAATAGATAAAACATCATTCCCGAATAATGACTGCCTCTCACAGTCACTCCTGGGAAACTCCTGCAGCACGATCACAGGGCCCCAAAATGAGACACAAGCGGGGAGAGGCAGAGATGGAGTTCAGAGGTGATCTTCTGCATCCCTGCCAGGTCCACTAGCAACGCGGAGCCATATTATGTTAACACCTGCATTAGTCTAGTTTGTGTTGCTATAACAGAATACACAGACTGGATAATTTAGAAAAGAAGCTTATTTCTTATAGACCTGGAGGCCACCCAGTCCGATGTTGAAGTACCTGTACCTGGGGAGGCTCTTCCAGCTGCACTATCCATGGCAGAAGTCAGAAGAGCAAGAGAGCAAGCATGCAAACTCTGTGTCAGGCCCTTTTGTAATTAGCGTTAATCCAGTCCCAAAGGTGAAGCCTTCAGGACCCAAACACCTCCGAACACTGCTGCTCTAGAACCGAGTTTCCAACACATGCCTTCTGTGGAACGCTTTCTAATTCCAGCAGTACCTGGGAGGTCTGGACCTTCCAGCCAAATCATGAATACTAAGAACAGTACCCAGTTAAAGGAAACCTGTGTTGTGTTTGTATTCCAATCTATCACCCCTCCAAAATTATTGCCCAAGAACTCTGGGAGTTTTTGCAGATGTCCATCTCACACCGTCCTCTAGACCCCTAATTTCCTCTCTACAGTCAAAGTAAGAAGAAGCACAAGGAATTCCGGGGCCCAGGTCAGCCATCCGGCCGTGGGGCCTGACCAGCCACAAGACTTTTTCTAGGACCACGTCTAACTCTCCAAGCTCCCCTGGATGGAGATACAGACTCTTTCCCCTACCCACCTTCCACAGGAGCTGTTTCTACACCCTGGCAGAAATCTCCCCACATATGGGGACTCCAGGTCTATGCAGGTGATCAGAGGCCTGGCTTGGGACTAGCTAATGTGCTCCTCAGTCTCCAGCTCTGGTCTCAGGTCCCTTCATTGGCTCAGCTTCTCCTTTACTGTGTCTTCCAAGAGATATGAGAATTTCTGTTCTTCTCCTTCTTCACAGCTAAAGATTCTTCTAGCTGCTCTTACTTAAGTGCTTTCATATCCCACAGCCAGCTATGGGTCGTGGCTGTTAGACCTTCTTATGGTTTGGAGCACATGAGTCCTGCAAAGCCCCACACGGTCAAAGGCTTAGTCACCAGCCTGTGGTGCTACTAGGAGGTGATGAAGGCTGTAAGAGGCGGGCCTACAGAAGGAAGTTAGATCACTGGTAGCATGTCCTTGAGAGGTGTTAGGACTCTGGCCCCTTCTTGTGTCTTTCTCTTTGCTTCCTGGGCCACCATGAGATGAACAGTTTTGTCCTACTATGCCCTCTCCATCATCATGTTCTGCTTCACCCCAGACCCAAAAGCAATGAAGCCAAGTGACATTGGAGTACAACCTCTGAAACCATTAGCCCACACCCACCCTTCCTTCTTTGAAGTTGTTTATCTCCGGTATTTCGTCACAGCAATTGAAAGCTAACTAACCCAAGCCTCATTCCTTTTCTGTAGGTAGCTGGTTCCTCTGAAGGTTTGCACCACACTCTGAATAGCCAGGACCCCCATGGCCAGACTCCTTAGGCCTAACGGGACCCATCATACATGCCTGCTTGGGCTGAGGTTTTCCCGGAGTCCACTTTCTGGAAGTCAGGTATGTGCTGCACCATTTTGCTAATTTCTTGGAGTCTGGACCAAAGAGATTTCCCAGTGATAGGCCTTCGATTAAGATGGCCTGGCCTTATGGGTTGGCTAGCCCCTGAAGAGGACCTAAAAGCTCTCTCAGAGCTGGCTCCCTACTTCCCTTCATGGTGGCATCTGCCATGGAGCCCCTCTTCGATCCCCTCTCCATCTGAACAAGAAATAAGTCCTTGGAGAGGGTCCGCTTTGCACATGCTCTTGTCAATGTCTCATACCTCTCCACCAAGATGGGGCTTCCTGGTTGGACTCCTTCCACCAATGGAGTAGGGAGCAGGCTGAAGAAGCCATTCCCACCTATCCCTGCCCTAGAAGACTGCTGTGGCCCACGTTTGACCTTGTTTCCCTAGCAGCTCCCCTAGCCTCCTGAACTCCACGTCCCCAGAAAGCTTGAGGCCAGGCACCTCATTGGCTGACATCCCATGGGGTTCACACTTCCCCTATCTCCGGCCCCTGCTCCACCCTCCTGGCTTCTGTGCTAACTCCTGCCTTGAGGAGCCCTGTCCAGGCTCCTCCAATCTCAGAATTCTATGTGCAATGGCAGCCCTTCCCACCAACCACTCCCTTCAGAGTTCTGCCTTCTCCGACTAACCAAGTCCATCTCTGAGGACCCACCCCATCTCATGGGACTCGCATACCCTTTGTCTATATGCAGCCCTCAGCCTTAAGAATGAGTTTGCTCAGGTATGAGATGCCCAGATGTCAAGAACCTGATCCACAATCCTATGTTGAAATCACATCTGACTGGGTCCTGCAGAATCCCATTCAGTGCTGAGACTATGCGCTCAGGTGCACCTCTGCCTTCACCTAGGGGAAACCCAGCAGCCCACCATACAGTCAAACTTCAGGGTTAGTGGCCCAGACAGTCCACTCTGCCCCCAGCTATAGCTGCCCTCCCTTCGAGAGCCTTGTAGCCTCCCCTCAGGGAAGCTGTCCCCTACACTGACCTCAGGGGCTGCGCTACATAGATTCCTTCATTGGCCTTTCAGCACCATTGAGCCTGGGCAATCGCGTTCCAGAGAGGCATAAAGGACAATAGAACTGTTAACCCGATATGCAAGCATGACTCCTTGAGCCCAGACTCAGTTCGCTTGTCTATATAATGAGGACAGCACCACTCCTTGCACAGGGGAGCTGTTGATAACGTTTATATCATCATAGTGAGGTGCTCAACAAACAGATGCCCTTCTCCGTGGGACTGCCCACACATGGGCACTTCTGTGGCAACTTGCCACTTGGGAGTGTTCTGAAAGGTCACTGGACACACCCAGGTGTGTCCCAGCTGATAACTCTGCCTTGTCCCCCTGGGCCTGGTCTACCTTCCCTCCCTCATCCCAAGGAAAAGCCATAGGGCCACTCCATTCTTAGGAACACCTCACCTAGCCTCACTCCCACCCAAAACGACAGAGCAGGCTGTGTCCAGCGAGGGACACTCCTTGCCCAACAGACACCCACCAGCCAAATGTCCACATCAGTACTTTTTGGGAAAATGTGGCCACCAGAACTCCCAAAATATGTGTCTCTCCCAGGGCTTCTGAGCTAGAAGCTGCAGGGCTCCAGATCTTCCTGTGGGAAGCAGTACACTTGCTTTCTTTTTCCTCTAAATGTCAGGAAAGCCTGGGAAAAGCCAGGGAACACACCTGAGCCTTTCCTGCAGGCCCAGCTGCTCAAAACACAGAAGCAAGAAGAGTTCCTGTTAGTGGCCCAGGAGAGGTCATTCTGGCCTTTCCTTAGCAGCCTGTAAACTTTGCTCAAATGCTACTGATCCATTTGGAGGGAGTTTGTTGTTTTGCTCTGGACCTGCAAGAAACACAATGTGCCTCTAGGAGGCCAGCACTATTTTTGATGATGTCCACACAGGCTACCCCTTCTGCAAACTCACCCTATAATTACTTCACCCCCCAGCCCTCCTACCTTAAGCCTGCCATGGAGCGTTTTCATTCAAAATTTGCTACTTTGCTCCTTGTGAACTAGGTCGGGTAAAATCATAACTACATTCAATCTGCCCACGACTTGGGCAGGGTTTTTACCAGAATGCTTAATTGAAAGTAACTGTTAATTTAGTCTTCCCAATAATCCTGGGTCGGGCAGCCTTTTACTTAAGGGAGTCCTGTAAAGTCACCTACCCCAACAAACACACACACACACACACACACACACACACACCCCACACAAAGGACTTTAGAAACTTCGGATCTCATTCAGTCTGTGACAGTGAGGCCTCCCAATTGTCACCCGGACAATAAACAGCCAGCTGACTTGGCTCAGCAGGTTCTATGCAGCTTTGGGGCCACGCCAGAACCCTAGAACAAGCTACGTTCAGGTTCCGAGCCCATGGGAGGGGGCTCGGGCCGGTGCTGTCGCAACCCTGGATTCAGCCTGCTGATGGGGCTCAGGCTGGTGCCCAGCAAAGCTCAGCTGATCAGCAAGTGGGCGGCCCAGAGGCGGCCAGGCAGCCCGACCCCAGGCAGCACGGCCGTGCACGGGTCAAGAGGCTCCGGGCTGGAGAAGCGGGGCTGCAGCGTCCTGATCCTCCATGCATCTTTTCAAGACCATCGGACGGACTCTGGCAGCCCTTGGCAGCCCGGGCCACTGCCTGCACCGCGCCCGCCGCTCCAGAACTCACACTGGCAACAAGTTCTCGCTTCCTCTGCGCCGCCACGATGTGCTCCGGGGGCCGGCGCGAGGGGAGCGCTCTCGGCGAGTCCGCGCTGCCCGCGCCTCGAGGGGCTCCCGCCGCCTTGGTCCCCTCCGAGACTGGAAAGGTCGGACTGGCAGAGGCTGCCCCCGGAGCGCCCCTCAGACAGGGACGGCCGCGCCTCCCGCGGGTGGCAACAGGTACGTCCGCGCCACGAGCCCCGCACGCCGGGGTCTCCCCGCCCCGGCCCCCCGGCCCCTCACCTCCAGCAACTGCACGTAGCTTGCCGGGAACCAACCGCGTAGCCCGTCCTCCTTCTCGCCTTCCCACCAGCCGCCGTCCGGGACCTGCAGCAGCGTGATCAGCTCGCCCGCGGCGAAGCGGAGCCCCTGGCCGTGCCGCTCCCCGGAGAAGGGGTACAGGGTCCGGCAGCGGGCGCCGGACATGGCCTTCGCGCCCGTGCTCACAGCGCAGCCTGCATCCCTGCCGAGCCCGGCGGGCTGGGCAACGGCTCCGCGGGGTCCCCGGCGC